ATTTGAGGCATTAGACTGGCACCTGTGGCAGTTAGTTATTTTCCCTGTCACTTAAGACATAATGGAAGAGTACATGACAGCGTTGTTAAAACAGGATAACAGGACAGACATCTTCTTGTTGCCAGTGCAACAATCTTGTGACAGCCTACAGGAAAAGAAACAATATGTCATCATATTACTTGTTATAAAAAAGTAGTCTCTTTTTGTAATTGTCAAATGAGCCTTCTAGTTCCAAATGAAAACTTTTGTGAATACAGAAACTTTTAAACATCTTTTCTTTTCTTTTTTTTTATTCCACTGTCCCCTAATTTACTTAGACACTTAGTGATTTGGTACAATCGATCCTCTCACCTGGAATGTAAAACTGCTACATAGTGGAAATAAAAAACAGGGACTTTCTGAGGTGGCGGTAATACAAATCACTATTTACGCCTGAATGCTTAATGTAATGTGGCTAACATTGTTCATTTTCTGAAAAAGTTGCCATTGCTGACAGTTGGCATCCACACAAACAAAATTGTGTTAATATCTGAAGTGTACACAACTAGTTGATCAAAGACGCAATTAGCTCCTCTCAGTGCCTTTGGTCATTTTAACTGGTGAGGAAAATCCCATCAGCACTGTGATTTCCGGATTTCAGAACAAACTTTTCTGCCGATGATAGGCGTTTATTCTTATCGCCATGAAACAGCTCTTGCATCCGTAGTCCAAATGGTAGCATTTTCGGAGCTGAGAGATCCCTTGTAGATCCAAACGAGTTGCGGGACTCTCAAAGAAAACAAGATGCCAGCTGCCACTACTTTTGATTGGATTTCATGCAGCTCTGTTCATTCTGTCGTGCTGGATTCTCTCAGAAAAAGGCTTCCACTTTTGCCACACCTCGGTGTCCACACAGAATGAGAGAAAAATCACTTTTTCACACAGCTCATAACTGTACTGGAAGGCTATCTGCTGCTTCAGGGCGGCGGAAATGAAGTGTCATGGCTAAAGTCTAAAGATGATTACAGGCTGTGTTAATGGGACAAACATCTGATGTGGTGTGAAATATGTCTCAAGAGCTTTTAAGAGAACTTGACACATTTGAATCACAAGGAAAAAGCACAATACAAAGTAATTTTTCCTTTTTATTCAGCTTTACATGCATTTAACTTGCATTCTAAGAGTTACATCACTAACTGAGAGCAACTGACTTCGTAAAACTCCATGGATCACTTAGTAGTTCTTGTAACAGGTCTTTAATGAGAATTGAATGTTTAATTTATTTGCTTGTGATGGATCTGTTGATGTGTGGTGGGATTAAAAACTTATTTTTTAAACTAAGATAAACAGCACTAAAACCAGAGCTAGTGAATAAATAAAGATTTTCCTGAGAAAAGGAACTGGTAGCTTTCCCAACCTGCTCCATTTTAGGAGCTTCACATTTTACACGTTTATGACATCTTAAGAAGTTTGGGTAATTTTAACGTGGACGTTGTTGAGATAATCTTAAGTTATGGTTAACATCTCCCTACCCAGTGAGGGGATGGAGTGTTTCAGGGTGTTTATCGTCTTAGTAAAAGAGTGCACATTATAAACCATAAACCGTAGTGTTAATACTGCTGCTACTATTAACTGCTATTAAAATGTCAACTTGACCCTCACACGCTGCCTGTAATTATAGCCCTGGCCAAGCTGCTGCATTTTCCACTTTTATTATTATTATAACCGTTTTTAATTTAGCTGTTTTTTCATTGGTCTCAGACATGGAGCTAGATTCTGTTCTTAGCACCACAGCAGGAGCACATTTCTCTCTGTGATCAAGCAAAGACCCTTTTCATGACTAGATGAAAGGAAGAAATTTGAACTGGTTTGATAGCACCAAAGGAGCCGGCAGCAGACCTGTCAATATGGGAATCTGTCAGCCCGAGGCGGTTCTGGAAACACAAATGCACCCAAATGCACAGTAGCACAGTGTTCAAGCATGAGATAGCCTGATGCAACTTAGCCCTCTGCAACCCGCGCTCTGCCCCAGACGGCCATGTCCTTTCACCACCTCCGATTTTACAATCCCTACAAATTAGTGCGGTACATTTTTCTGGTGAGCATGCAAATCATGTTTACCACTTGCGAGGAGGGAATAGCTCAGAAGAGAAAACAGTGAGCACAGGTGGGCCTGAGATGAAGGAGGAAAGAAGGGAGAGAGGCTGACTGAGAGCTGTGGCAAAAGAGAACGAAGCGGGCGACTGATGAGGACTTACAGAAAACCAGTTGAAAGTAGTAATATTGACAGAGAAACATTAGAATGCATTTCTCAATTCTACAGGTGAGTGTATTTGATCCTGAGATGATATCTATGAATAATTTCATATGAATATATAATGTCCAAATATACAAATACAAACAGTGTTTGTATGGAGCAGCACAAACCACAAACCAGTTAGAAACATCATTCCGACTAGAATATAGAAAGTGACCTAAGAAGACCTCAGCTGGGAACAGCAGCTAATGCAGGACAAATGCACGGACGTTTTCCAAGAAATTAATATAAACTGTTGTTCTGCAGTTTCCCTGCAACACAATTTTCAACAACCATTACTCTCTGGATGTCTGACCTTGGAGTAAAGGTAACCAGTGGTTACATTTTAGGGCTAAAATTCTAAGAAGCCATTTTTGTTTTTGAATTTTGTGTGTTTTTAAATACTTTCTTCATTTCTAATCACATAAATTACTTTTTTTATTTGTTTATCTTCTCAATTTGAACGACCTCTTTTCCGGTTTTATGTTCAGTATTTTGATTTTCACCTCATCTTAGGGAAATAACTAGCAAAACTCTATGACTTAAAATTAAATGAAACCCTAGTCGTTATATCAACAGTTTATAAACGGCATGACAGTGAAAACAATCAGCAGAGTAAAACATCAGGAAAATGTCAGCGACAAACTCGACACAGGGAATTTTGTTAATAATTAAGTAAGCACAATTACGCAAGCAGGTTTTCAATAGCTATTCATACCAAATGGACAGATTGCACGAGTGTCTGGGGAGTCAACAGAGGTGGCTGCAGTAAGGTGTGCACGGAATTCTATTATTCATTCAGTGAATTATAAACTTAGCATATGCCCATATTTTATGCATGCCAATTTCTATTTATTGATTTTATAGTCAATAATATAAGCAAAGAAGTTTTTCTCATCTGAGAGAAGGGTTTGGTAGGAAAACAGTATATTAAAGTAACTGGTTCGCATGCATTTCTGTGAACTAACTGCACTTCAACCTTACATACTGCCAATAAATAAATAAAGGGATGATTTGAGCCAGCCAGAAAGAGTTTAAATTAACCCCTGGATGCAGAGTCTTAATTTAGTTTAGGCGCTTCCAAAAAGAAAGCATAGAGCCTACACTAATCTCGTAGAAGTGAAGCAAGTGCAGCTGCAGTGCAGCAGCTGCAGAAGCAAGTGACAGCTGTCCGAGGAAAAAAATCACCCCCCATCATCCCAGCCAGCAACTCTTTGTGAGATGTGTTTTTGTTCCAGTGGCAAAGTCTCTCTGCTGTTGTGGAAACTCCAACAGTCCACTGAAAATGAAGGAGGGGAATTGTTCTGTTACCTCAACTGCTTTAATCCTAGAACTGGGAAAACATGAGTAGCTGTGAAATCCAATGAGAGAAAACAACAAATCCAACCAGTTTTTCGCAGTAGTTGTTTAGTTTGTTTATGGTCACAGCAAGAGTTACCGTGACCATAAACCAACAATTTATCTATTCATTATTGATTTGATTGCATTGAATAATATTTAGCTGTATCAACACCAAAACACGAAACACACAGGCTGTCTTTTGTGCTATTTGGAGGAGTTGTTTGGGTGAGGTCACCTGCAAATTTGGGTTGTTCCTCTCAATACAGCATCCCTCCCTCCCTGACTTGTTCCTTCGAATGAAGGAATGAGTAAAAAAATAGGAAAATGTTGCTTTATCGAGTGCTTAGATCTCCAGGTGGATTAGAAGTAGAAGTGTTGTGATTAGTTTTTATGATGACAATTAGACATGCTTTTAGAGTCTAATCTGGTAAAATAAAATCTCTTATTTCAGGGTCCTCAACAGTGTTTTGAATAGAATAGTCATGATTAAAGCAACATGCTCTATTGCTTAATTCTGCATTGTCTGATTATAGAGTGTTTGTACAAAAAAGTTCCACTCATATGTCAGTGAAGCAGTTAGTGACGCAAAATCGTTCAAAATACAATGCCTGTATCTTGTAAAATGAGAACTGACTTTTTCTCACCTGGTGATAGGTCTGGCATTCGGTCCTTCCTCCTCTGCCACAGGCCCTCTCTGGTCCAGGCCTCTTCTTCACAATTAGTCAGCCATTCACCTCAGGTTTAGCCAGGTGCTCAGAGATGCACGGAAGGGACAGGGTTACTCACTTCAAATCAAAAAGAGAACAGAAAAATGTATTTCTTTTAGAGTGGAAGCCTTGGGGGGGGAAAACAAACAAAATCATTGTGGCAGCTTGCAAACGTTTTGATCAACCTTTATCCGGGACAAATTTTCTGAGCTAATGTTCAAAGGCGCCTTACGAACCACATGTGTCTGACACCCACTCATTGCCCATTTTGCAAGTGAACCAAGTCCTCAATGTCCTCTGATCAGGTTTATTTCAAACATTAAAAAAGATAAATGTGGACAAAAAAGATAGATTTGTCTAATATAATTATCATTCACTTTTTTACATGCTCTTTTTTTTGTTCTTTAAAATTTGCTGATCATAACGGCAGTCAATTGCTGCTTTCTGCTGAAAAATCTAACCACATATTGTGGATTAAAGATTCCTATGAGGCATTATGAGACATTTCGACAAGTCTGTTGTGTTTGTGCTGATGAACATAAGTTACATGTGAAACTCTAAACTCTTAGATGAAGTTTTCAGGATTATTAATCTTTTGATAGTAAATTTAATCCACTTTTCTTGCTTTCAACTATCTTCCCATCGTAGTGCCTCAGCCAACCCTTTTTTTGGTTCACCTTAGCGTCCCTCTTGTGCTAAATAAATAGGAAAAAGCTAAAAAAATGTATATAAAAAAAACATCCACCAGGGGAAAAGTGTGAGGGATATCAAAGATCAAAGTCTCTATGGAGAAAGGTGATCAGACCAATGAAAGTCAGACTGATAGAAATCAACTCTCCGTTGAACATCAGATCAAAACAACACTCAGCTTTTCCTTCCCTTTCACCACCTCCACAGGCCTCACCCCCTCACCTGACACCAAGCGTCCTCGCCACACAGCTACAGTGTAATCCTGCCTCTCACTCCTGAATCTGAGCGCAGAATGACCATCACCCTCGTTCGAAAGATTCAACCAGAACAGGCCAAATGACCTGACAACGTCAACCCCAGGGACCCGAAAGGCTCTGCAGAGTTGCTATGTGGGATTCTCAGATTCAGAGAAAAGTTTCAGTGCTGGAAGACATCCTGCCCTGTTCTGGCACCTCAAACTCTTATCCATCTACCCTAAATGACTAGCAGTAATGGCCCAGTGCAGTTTAGAATTCTGGGGATTTTGATGGTGTTGCCATTATCTTGCAGCAAACTGCTGCTCGATAATGGCATGAGGATCATGTCTTTTTGTCTTTTATTTATCCAGGGATTTTTGACTGGATAAATTCAATTTAATCCAGTCCAGTGCTGATACAATTCAGCCTGCACAAAAAGAGGCTCCATTACGTTGAGGTTGCACCTCCACATTCTCTGAGATTAAGTATCTAAAACACAAACCACAGTGTGTGAGACCGTAGGGTTGTGTGTATAAGAATGTAGTCAGCAGAACAGGATCACCACAGGGGACTATAAACTCTGTTTTTGTGTATTCCGTACACACTCTGTCATCTCCAGTAAGACTCAGATTAGTCTGTATGGTGTATCAGTGATGGCAAGAGACTGAGTAAAGGAAACAGACCGATAATTTTGTGGCATGCTGTGGGAACTGAATGTGAAAACCTGTATTAGATGTAAACAAATCAAAAGACATGACTGTTGATTTTTAAGATAATTAAAAATCTACAAAAAGTAGTAATATCTCAGGAGAATCGGTGGAGGTAATGGACTGCAGACACTTTGGGCTTCACCTGGACAACCAAGTGCATGTGAAAATAGGGCAGCTTACAGATTGTAGTGAAAGGCAGAGTGTGGGTCCTTTCATTCTAAATATACAAATATAAGAAATATGTAACATGTCTACTGTCTCTTTGGAGGAGAGTGCAGTGTGATTTGATCCATCTTAGCCAGTGGTTCAAAGAAACTAACTAATCAAGAAGGCTGGCTTTGTGCTGAAGACTACTTTTGAGATCATGGACAGTGTATGCAAACATTTCTGCTGCACTAGCTACTGATTATAGGGCACACTGCACACCCTCTGCATAATTAAAAGATCAAATAAGGTGTTTTCAGTCAGAGGCTCCCTCAGCTCTGCTGCAGTGAAAACATTACAGGAGGTCATGCAAATAGCAGTAACCATTTTTATTACCATGAGTAATGACAGATATGTGCTAATCATCTTCATGTAGCAAATATATCTCTCCCCTCTTTGGGAGTAATAAAGCCTTCAAAACACAAAATACCTGAAATATTTATCTGTTTTATAATCGTTCTGCTTCATCCAGACAATGCGATGCATTTCTCCCCAGCTGGATGGAAGATGTTCCTCAAATGAGTTTAAATTGAAACTGTTGTGTAATAGATTATGAGCTGAGCGAAGAAATCTAAACAAATCCAACCAGGGCCATTGTTGTTATTTTGCCCCAGGTCTTTCATTCTCATTTACTTGGGCCATTTCAACATTTTTGACATACAGACACTTTTTTTTTAGTCTTTGGCCAAAAACAAAGTCATGGACTCTTAATATTAATTTCTGTTCTCCATATCTCTCTGAGGCATTTCCTTTCTTCAAAACATCAAGTTTCTGAAACTTTTTGAGCAAGATGAGAATATATCTGTGAGGTGCACATTGGCAGAAGCTCTCCCCAGACAAAATAAAATCTCCTATAACAGTTAGCATCAGTGTTTATAGGCTGCATGTGATGCAGAAACCACTCTGAGTAATTCTTTTTCGAAGATGAGTTCAGATTTGAGTGTAAAATATTGTTAGCCTCAGTATGTGATGCTGCTCTCCTCGATTGCATTGTTACAACTGGACAAATAGGACTGCCACTAAAGAGTCATAAAAACACAATTCCTGTGTCTTCAGCAAATAATTCTATGTCCAGGTGCGTTAATGAATATCTCAAAAGGTCTAATACATTTTCTTGAAAAAGCCAGGAGGAAGTTAAAACTGAACTTTCCGGCTGGAATGAGCAAAGATATGCTTGGAGAGAAAAGGGCACAGCATTTTCTGAAAAGAGCACCTCTCAAACTGTTAAGCACAGAACTGAATCAATGTTTTAGACTTGTTGCGTGCCAAACGCTTCGGTGGTTGAGGGGAAAATGGATTTGGCTGAATATAATTGAATGTTCCAACAATATGTTGATAGATTTAAAAGAAATGTATTTAATGAAACACCAAAAACTCTGAAGTACATTGTGATACTTCCTAAAGTGTTGCACAATTCTCACCTTTGCTGGCCTTTTTCTTCATTCAGTAACCAATATGTATGATAAGTAAATATATCAATACACTGATGTTTTCCATCTGTGCTTTTTAAGAGTTATTTCTGAAGTTAAAAGAGATAAAGAATTCAAAATAATCAAACACATTTAATTATTGTGTGCTTTAAAAGTATTACATCAGGCACTGAATTAAGAGAGAATCGTTCTATTTATTAAACATTACAATGTGAAGACATAAGCTGCTCTACATAAATGACTGTACAGTTAAACGCACCGTAAAATGAATCCATGACTGGAAAATAGAGAATGTGTTTTGCCAGGATTAGGTTCTTAAGGATTTAAGAGGTGGGATCTTTCTCCATCAATTATTTAACAATATAGGTGAAACTGCATCACTTAGGCTGTTGAAAATAATAGTTGAACCCAAGCTGTGTGATTGTGAAACTATGTATGACACTTTCAACAGTTCACTTGGAGTAACAGTAGGGCAGATTCAATGAGATATTGGTTTATTTGAACAAAAAGTGAACAGCACCAAGCTAGCTATCTTCAAAAGTCTGTATCATATGTTTATTCAGTGTAGTGCTTCACTCAGACATCTTTTCGCTTCTTTTAAAATCTTTCAAGTGTCTCTCGGTTTTCACATCGTACTGAAAGTGAGAATTTAGTTCCAGCGGTTAAAATCAGAGGAGGGAAACAGTAGGAGAGACTTTTTTGATCAGGTGCATGAGGATAAAAAGGCACTTGGGTAAGCCAAGGCAACTGAGAAGAGTCACCTATTTAAAGATGGAGTTGTGAAAAGTGCAGTCAAGTCTCTGGTAAGGTTAGACAGAGGACACGGCTTTCAAAAATTTGCTTGGAGAATCATGAGTAGAAGTAGTGTAATCAGTGAGGTTACAAAAGTTTGTGAGAGAGTGGAAGAGGATCAACGCTGTGAATAAGTGCTCAGGATGTCATTAACCCTTGCTTCAAGCTGACAAAATGGAGAATACTTCCCTGAAGGCATCGGCTTTGATTTTCACATCTTTACCAGCTGACCTGAGAGTCCACAGCTTCAAACATTCCAAAAGATCTAATTAAATCTCGATGTATTCACTTCTTCCATAGAATTTTTCAGATGTTTGTGTAAGAAAAATTGTCTAAGCATGAGGGCTTGTAGGGAGTAGCATGCATATATAATAGCATTCTGATGAAAAGTCCCCCAAAGTGTGACACAATCCTTGTTAATTCAGAAGAGATCTGAGGTATCATGGCTTCATTCTCACATGTTTTGGGTGGCTTGAGGCATGCCCTGACAGGGAATCAAATCACTGTTCTTCTGTTCCGAGGGCATCAAAGATACCCCTCTGTCAGCCCACCAGCAACTGGTTATGTCAAGAAGTCATATCATTCACCGGATAAGGTTAGTTTTAAAGACAGTACAGTGGCCACTAATCGTGGTAATACAAGAACAGACAATAAGCAGAAAGAATAGAGTTAAAGAGCCTTTATCTGCAAAAGACCCCAAGTCAAATTGGCAGATAATACCAAGGATGGAAGAGAATAACAGAACCAAGATCCAGAGGGACATTTAGATCCTGACTGATGACGTGCTGAAGGATAAGTAGTTGGACAACATGGTAGACATTTGACAAACCATAGAGCGAAGGGGTAGGGACAGATGTGGCAATAACGAGCAAAGTAAGTAGAAGGAAACAACAGAGCAATCTGAAAAGACGGGGCAAGTGAAGGCAACTGAGCTGCCAGAGGTAATAAGAGCACCTGGGGCTGTGACCCCTTATTCAGACAGTGGCTCCAACGGAAACGACATGAAAAACTTCAGAGACCTCTGTTGAGAAAGAGTGCAATCCAAAGACAAACCCCGGGTTGAGGATCAGACCTTGATAAGGCACTTTTTATTAGTTTTCAAAATACTTTTCAGACAGTGGAAGGACAGTAAATATTAGATCTAAAAAGAAGGAGGGTAACTGACGTGTAAGTAACAGTACTAGTTATAAAACAAAGGAAAGAAGCCAAAGAAAGACAAAGAAAAGTATATATTAGACCATGTCAGTTTAAAGCATGTTGCTAGAAAATGGTTATATAAATAATAGCAATGTAATAGTGCAGTCTAATACATCTCCAATATGTGGGCTCATCCTATTATCCCACTTCATTGCTTTTATTATGCTTTTACTCTTTCAAGACCATACTTTATTCCATTTGAAACTTATTTTAACATAATATGATAATTGATATAAATTAGTAAATAATGCGCTATAAATGTCTTTATATCAAGAATACTATAAACAAAGCAACAGCTAGAACCATTTTTTTCTGGAACAGTAATAAAAAAATGCTTGCAGAATCTTCATAATTATCAGAGAGTGGAGAAGCCCTACATTGACAGTTTAGAATGATATAATCTTACCAAAAGAAACTGTTAAATATTAAGCCTTGTGAGAGGTGACACCCATCTTCAGTGAGGTTTTTCAATATAAAACCTAGTTGATGTAGCACGACTGAGGATAGTGAGTTCCTCCTCAGAGTAAATCCTGATATATCCC